TTTTTTTTTTTTTTTTCTCTCTTTGGTTGAGAGGTAGAATAATTGTTTTTTTTCTTGGATTTTGCTCATTTGACTCCGGAGAAAAAGGGGGAGATTTTATTGGGATGAACCTTTTTTGTATTGTAATTTTTCTACTTTCTTCTCCTTTTCTTTTCCCTATTTTTTTATTCTTTTTTAGGTTGTCTCATTTTGTGTTGATTTAAACTTGATCTCATGTGTAAAACCACACATCATATATTATAGGTTGATGCTAACCATTTTGTTGGGTTTGTAACCGTTAGATCAACTATCCCGACGGTTACATAATGATCTAATGGTTACAAACCCCGACGAAATGGTTCCATAACAGGTGTAACAACAAATTTCGTGTATTGAATTTAAAAAACACGAAAAATATTATTCAAATAAATTCTTGAATCAAAATAATATTGCGGGTTACAATCTCTATTATTCCTCTGATTCTTCTCACAAACAATATATTAAGTCTTGGAGCGAAATCTTCGGCTTGATCTTCTCCTTGACTTGATTTGACTTGAATTAACGTAATCCGAGGGCTTGAAAGCTTTTTCCCGGATCAAACGTCAAAATATCCTAAGAACGCGAAGAACACGAATCTTGGTCTTCGCCGCAAAGTAGATCTCGAATCTTCTTCACGCCGGTTTTAAATTTACTAACGTTATTCGGAGGCTTCGCAGCTTGTTTCCGGATTGAACGCTAGTCTTGAGGTTGAACGCACTTGAATCTTGCTTTGAGTCTTCAAGAACGCCTTTAAATCTTCAAGAACACTTGAATCTCGTCGAGAGATCTTGAACTTGAATTTGAATATGAACGCAATTTGGAGGCTTCGCAGCTTGTTTCCGGATTAAACGTCGGTTTTGAGCTTGATGTGCTTGAATCTTCCTTCGAATCTTCAAGAACGGCTTCGAATCTTCAAGAACACTTTGAAACTTGTAGAGAGAATTCTCTAGAGCTCTTGAACTTCAAAATATGAATTATGATGTGTGTTTTTGACATTAGGGAGAGCCCCTATTTATAGGTGTAGGAGGGAGATCCTTACCAAATTTAAGAATCGTAGGACGCAATTTGATTGGTCCATGATGATTCACATAAGATCTTCAAGATCCACTTAAATCTTCCAAGATCTTTTAGATCCACTTAAATCTTCCAAGATCTTCTAGAAGATATGATTTATTTACCAAGAATAAGATTTGACACTTGGCATTATTTGATTGGTCAAGAATTAAAATATTAAAATATCAATTAATTAACTATTTAAATTTAGGAATTAAAAATATGGAAATTCCTAAAATATAAATAGAAAATATAACTTGATTTTTAATAAATTAATTTCCACGTGGCGCGATTTGATTGGACACAAATTTTATGTATCTACAAATGCCCCCTCGAGACTTGTTCACGGACAACGTATCTTGGAGTGAACGAGTCACGACATCGTTTGACTCGGGCTTGGAAGACGTGATATGGGTTCAAAATCCCAAGAGAGCCCAAATTGCTAAACTTGTCATGGCCCAAAACCTTTCTAATTAAATGCCCATATAATGAACCAAAGCGTTTGAATGCTATATATTGGGCCTTTATTAATTTAGTGTATTAAAACCCACTAAATAATTTACTACCCTCAACATTACTCAAGCTTTACGTGTAGCCCATTCAATTGAAAAGATATACTGCACAACATCTGGTAAGAATATCTCTATCGGCCCATCCCACTCTCAAATATCAAAATTGGACTGAAAGCCTTTCACAACATTTTTTTTTTTTTTTTTTTTTTTTTTTTTTTTTCAAAACCTGCCACGAGCAAGAGAGATTTATTGCCCAAGTAGCTGTGAAATATTTCCTCACCCTTTCCAAAGTTAGAGATTATTTGCCAAATAACAAGATTTAAAGGCCTTAATCATGATCTTAACTTCCAAATATGTGGCCAACTTTCAAGTCCGTAACAGGTAACAGAAATATGAAACAACATCCAACTCTTTATTCTGCTTCCTTTTCTCGTCAAATTCCTTTTCCTAATCACACAACGAATCCTTTCCTTCAGAGGATACAAGTATCGCCTTGTGTATCTATAAATAGGCCTCCTCAGGCAGTTATTTTTTTCGCATCTTAAGGCCGAAAGACAGGTACATGCGGCTTCCTCCCTGTACTGATCTTTTTTTTTTTTTT